AGGACTCTCCCGTAGCTGGCCTTAAACAGCCAGTCTTCCCTGTAGCAGATTCCTGGATCCCCTGGTCTCCTCCTGCCTCACACACAGGAACACACACATGAAAACACATCTCTTTGGTACCCAGTTCATATTATGGCCTTACTAGTAGCCAACCACAGACCCCACAGTCTCTTCAGTCACTGGTCTGGACCTCCTACCTACCCCCTCCAGTAGTCAACTCACAGACCTTCTGTTCTCCTCGGTCTTTGTTCCAGACTCATGGTTGCTCCAACAGGTGGTTCCCAAGCCTCTTATCCTACACAATGGCTACTCTGGCTTCATGATTGCTAGCAATTTTGCACTGACATATGCACCTCAGTCCCTCCAGCTGCTGGCACTCGGGCCTCCACACACACAAGCACACAGTATGGGGATCTGCTGACCAATGAACAGAAGTAGAGTCAAACAAAAATACAGCAGAGACAGCTTAGTTGCAGGGCATTACTGGACACATGTACTGACTGGCCCTTTTTATCCTTTTTTTCCTTTATTTTCCTGCACTGTTTCTCCTTGGACTTCCTAGATTCCTTCCTTTCACTGTCTTTGTTTCCTGCCTAAACAGGATCCTAAAATTGCACCCTAAATCCTGTATGGTGTCAGGCTGTTACCAGCTGGCATTCCCATAATTGGGCCCATACCCTTCCATGCTTCACTCTATGAGGTGTCCTAGGGAAACCTCCCTAGGGTCTCGCCCTGTCCATGGGAATGATCACCCCTGTGATGGATCAGGGCAGGGGTTCATAATCTTTCCTCCTCCTTTCCTCCACTCGCCATTGTGCCTTGGGGCCCCTCTGACTTTGTGAAGATCACATAAGTCAACAAATAATCGTCTCAGTCTGTCTCAAAGTAGCTGGTCTCTTCTCCCCTATTCTCAGCTTGCTCTCTATGAATATTCTGTAATAATACTGGTATTACTGGATAAAGTTACCAGCCACTGCCAGGTTATCATATGTACCTGGTAGAAGGCAGACCCATCCTCAGACTCTAAGTAAGGAGGCAGAGGTTAGGGATGGAGCACCACTGAATTGTCTAAGGAAACATAGCAGAACAGTGTCTCAAGAAACATGGAATTTGGGACACTTGAATGTTCATCATCATCTCCATGTATAATCTCCCTGACTCCTTTCTGAGTTTATTTATGTGAACCTGAAAGGCATTAGTGTTCTTATAAAAATTCCTTTTAATTTCTGGCAAAATTAGCTATAGCGGCTGAAACCACATTTTTTATCTTCATATTTATATCAAAACCTTGGACAATAAAGTTTGTTTCCTGCATGTGCAAATTTTTTTCTTGCCCTTTTGTTTTACTGTGAAAGAGATGAAAGCAAAAGAGATCTGCGTAGGCAAACCATACTGCTGGTGGGAGCAGGTCTGACACACCCAGTGTAATCAAAGCACCCTAGAGTCAAACTCCTGGTTTCAGGTGAAACTCTTTTCTTCCCAGTTGTTAATCACAGGTCACTGGTAAACTTGATATTTGATGGCACTAGAGTCTTCTCCTTTGTCACATTTTTTTTTTCTGCTGTGGGTTTCAAAGTGGTACCTACTTTTCAACCATGGTACCTACTAGGTATACTTCTGAAATTTGTGGAAAATTGAAAACTACGTAGAGGAGCACTTTTGCCCTGTGAAGGCACTGGGCAGGTCTGTGAGACATCAAAAGATAGCTGAATTCACTTGTTTGCTGGGGTTTCAGAGTAGAGATAAGATAAATAAAATGTTTTAAACATCAGCTTTGGGATGAAAATAAAAAAATAGGGTTATTTTTAGTTCTTGATTTCTCTCTTATTCTGTAGTAATTATTTAAAATGCTCTGGTTACAGAGTTTAAACCCTTGCCAATACCATGGCAGTTCTCTTTTCTCTTCTTTGCAGTATTAATTATTTGTGTATTTTCCTTTAGATCAGCATAGAAGTGGCTCTGATGCTGCATTGCCATTAATGTTCAGACCCCAGTCCCGACTACGGCCACTTGAAGCAAAGCACCGCCAAAATGAGCTGATTCCAATGGCACACTTGGATAGACAAGCAGGTCCATCCAATCTGTCAAGTCGAAGAGGAAATTCAATCAGACATCATCGTTCCACCAGAGCAGACAATCTAGCTCTAATGCCAAAGTCTCGGCTCACTGTGAGAGAAGTAGAGGAGTATGACTCAGAAGAAGAGACAGAAACAATGGCACCAGCCAGGCCATTAGTTATATGAGGAGCAGAAAAAAGCAGTGTTTGCATCTCTAGGGCCCCTTGTGCACTGCTCCAAGAGAAATAACAAAGCTCTTTTTATATGAACCAAAGTATGATTTTCCTTCTGGGACCAGTGTCCTTGTTCTCGTATCGCTTTCAAGCACTGTATCAAGGTACTTAGTGGCTCAGAGAAGACTCAAATTTTTAAGCATTTATATCAAGCTTTCTTTCCAACAAAACACTGCTGGAAAGAGGAGAACATGATCTTTGTAGAGGTTTGAATATGGATTTAAGCAACAGTCATAGGACTCAGGCAATGCTATGGGTAGAAGCTGATACTGCCTTTGTTCTATGTTATGGTCTGCATCCAGAGGAAAGACATTTGTAAAGGCATCCTTGACACATAAATACACAGATTGAAGACTTGTGCAGAGCTTTTGACCTCAGAGTAGCTGAGATATTCAAGGAAAAAGTTACAAGCAGAAAGGCATTTTTAGGGCATATAAACTGAAGATTCCTAAACAAGACCTTAAGTCAAGAGGATTTTTAGTGGAGATTTTCAGCACTTGGGGGATTTTCTGTCAGCTCAGATTTTGTCTCTAAAAAAGTGCTAAAGTCAGTTGCTGTGATGGTCTGTAACTCCTGCTACTTAAACCAATTTCCTATCACCCACTACATTGGATGAATAAAGGAGGTATGCACAAATCCAGAGGACTCTTCAGGCAGGGTGCTGTCAGGAAACCTTTTATTTGTAAATGTGAAATGGCAAGAACATGCACAATATTCTTGTGATTCAGCAAATGGGAGGCTTCACTGTAGAGTATCTAACCTCCATTCCCCGCTCCCACCTTGTGTGCCCAAAATGGGCCATTCTTCACACTAAAACTGGACCAGCACTGCAGGTGGGAAGTAAGAAACCGGGATTAAAGGTAAAGGGAACCTAACCTTGTAGCCTGCTGGCTAGCAGGAAAGATAGGCCCTGTGTTTTGCTCCCAGCTTTTTGTAATGTGTCTGTCTATATATTGTACGGAGAAGTATTTACCAAAAAAAGCAGAAATAACCAAAAGGTTGTGCACTGAAGCACATGACTTCTCAACCTTTCTACAGAGCTCCCTTCCAACTGTTTCTGTATGCCCATGGTCCACTCTCAATGGTAGGTCTCCCTAGTGGTAGGAGAAGCAAGAAGTATGGTCTGGAGTAATTTTAGATAAAGGCTAAGTCCTAGACACCTAGTCCCTCTGATGGAGCTCTTTTCTGCAGCATTGCTACTGTCATCTGTGTCTTGAAACTGTACATGACCTGATTTTATCCAGAGGAGTGAACTGAATCCAGAAGTTCGTAAACACACCCTTACAGTTCAAATCTATGGTTAAGAAATGCACCGAGTTCAGATGTGTTTTTATCAAGTTTCCTTCTCTCTCCTCCACTCAAAGCATGCTTTGCTGCGCAACTCAAGGTCTGTAAATGCTACTCTAAGAGTCAGAGAAATAAGAATTAGAGATAGTAGTGCCACCTGTATGTTTTTTTTGTTTGGTTGGTTTTTTGTTTGGTTTTTTTTTAATATTATTGGTAAGTGTTTGTATGTTCTGGTCCATAAAAAACTTAAAAGTGTAAGTTATGACTTCGCACTTCTTACAAAGGATTTCTGGTTCAGGACAGGTAGAATCTAAATGAACTAATTTGAAAAGCACAACCAGAGAAAAAAAAAAATAAAAGGCCTTTCCCCCCTTCTCTCATGATTGCAGCTTTTATGCTTAGCAGGTCATAATGAATCATCTGTATTGAAGTTCTGCAAAGCTTTATGAAACTCAAGTTTTGTTTGTATTTCCTTATTGTGCCAGAGAAATTATACTACTTCCTTTTATGAAAACACTGGTACATTATTAAAACAGGGTAGGATTTTGCTTTTGTAGCGACACTGAATTAGCAATGAAATACAGTTATGTACCTGAAAATTAACAAATAAACCCAGCTCCACCAAAGGAGGAAGTTCTCTACAGGGTTTTTAAACAAAAGCCTTGTGCCAGATCTCATCTCAGTCCTATAGCAAGTTATATTGACATATCATAAATCTAAATTAAAATGTGATATTAAGGGAAACAGTTATATCAGTTAAATCATACAAAATCAGGTCTTAAATTGCATTGTGAGCCACCCAGTTGCCACACGATATTTAATTGAGGGCAAAATTAATACCTATAAGGTGTGGTCCTTAGGCCATGGAGGTGCATGGAGTAGGGTGGCAGAGGTGTGGAACCTGATTCTGCATTGCAGTCGTGAGGGTGTGGGATCTCCAAAACTGGCTGGTGGGTGATATGAATTGCTGGTAATCCTTGGGGACAGTGATGGAGAGAAAGTGGAAATCTGAAAGGAGGGGGAAGAGGGGTTAGTGTCTCACCTTCAAAAGGAGGCTCAAGAGAGAGGTTTAACTGAGGAATTACTGCAAGCCGCAAATTCAGCATTTCCTCTTTAAGAAGATTTAATCAACAGCTTGTCTGGGGGAACTGGACAGAAACAAACTCTGGGAGATGAGGAGGATTAATGTCTGGAGTAGCAGGGAAAGGGACTAAACATACATCATGCAAAAGAGGAGTCTGTGCAGTTTGGTCAGTATATCTTTGACAAACATACTCAAAATTGACTCCCAAATTCCTTAAATATTGTAAAAGTCCTAGACCATTATATAATTACCCATTTTAAGTAGGGAGCAAAGCATTCAATTTCTAATGACTGGTTTATATTAGAATTAGAGAAAAATAATTAAGTCTTTCTAAAATACTGAGATAACTAATGCATAGATGGAGATTAATCTCTCTCTTCTGCTTAATTTCTAATCTTTTATTTGATGAAACCAGTGTGCCAGAACTTCAGAGAGTGTAAAGATGTAGAGTACCTAGAAGTTAATAGAGTGCTCTCAGATTTTTCAGTCTGGCCCCCAAACTTGTGAAGTCTATTTTTAGTTTTCTTTCCTAGCAATTAGTAAATAGGACTGGAAGAAAATTTCCTTCTGTGCCATTAATTGACGTTAATGGTTTTGCTGGACAACAGCCAAGAAGCAATGCTGCAGATGCATGTATAAAATATGTTCTAAGATATAAACTTGCATGTTTTATTTTTTTTTATGGTTATTTCATACTTGTGGACAAAAAGGTTCTCCTTAAAGAAGCACATTACTTATGTTTTAAATAGCAATAACTACAGCAATATCTTATTACAAGTAACTTACTCCATATCTATAGGCTTTCAGGCCTGTTCATAAAGAAAACTGAAGTGGTTTAAGGAATGTATTTAAATCCACTGTGTGTGGGCATTCTTAAACTCTTTAACCTGGGTCACATCCAGGAACCTTGTGCTGATAATTTACAAAGGTAAGCTAATTCAAGATTTCCTATTTTTTAGCCTGGTACTCTGAAATTTAAATTGTATACCGATTTAAGGTGAACTGGAACAGGAAACTCATGCCCAGAAGGTGAAGAATTATTATTCAAAATCCAGAGAGAAACTAACTCAGAGAATTAAGACTATTTGCTTGGGCAGGAGGATAGTGCAGGATAGGTGAGTTTCAGGAAAGAATAATAATGAATAGCCTCTACCTTTGGCAGCAGACAAAATAAACCACAACCTTGTTGTGGTTTAACAACAGCCAGTAAGTCAGCCCCATGCAGCCACTCATTCACTCCCCCTCAGTGGGATGAGGGAGAGAACTGGACAAACAAAAGTGAGAAAACTTGTGGGTTGAGATAAAGACGGTTTAATAGGTAAGGCAAAAGCTATGCACACAAACAAAGCAAAACAAGGAATTAATTCACCACTTCCTATGGGCAGGTGGAGGTTCAGACATCTCCAGGGAAGCTAGGCTTGATTATGTGTAATGGTGATTTGGGAAGACAAACACCATCACTCTGAATATCCTCCCCTTCCTTCCTATTCGCTCAGGTTCTATTGCTAAGAACGATACCAGTTGGTGTGGGATATCCCTTTGGTCAGCTGGGGTCAGCTGTCCTGGCTGTGTCCCCTCCAAACTCCTTGTGCACCCTCGACCTACTCTCTGGTGGGGTGGCATGAGAAGCAGAACAGGTCTTGACTCTGCATAAGCACTGCTCAGCAACAACAAAAACGTCCCGCTGTTATCAACACTGTTTCAGCACAAATCCAAAATACAGTGCCATACGAGCTAATATGAAGAAAATTAACTCTATCTCAGCCTAAACCAACTCACACCTGAACAGCACTTGCTAATCAATGAGAGAAACAGGACAATAAGAACAGTCATAATGAGAAAAGAGTTTAGTAGTAAAAGCAATAATGGTCAAATATTGCAATATTTTCTGCAGAATACTGCAGAAAAAGGAGTACTCAAGGTCAATAATATGTTGTGAGCAGCCTGCAATACTTTCATATTTATTGCACAGTGTAATTCACTGTTAGATCCTGTTGCTCTGGCTGCAAGTATTACTTTTCAACTCATATCCCAGCAAGTAAGAATGTGTAGTAAAAGTAAAATCTCTTCCTTGGAGAGCTTAGCATCAGGGATGCAGCAGGACAGGCGGCGCCAGCACATGATAGCACGTAGTGCAGGGAGCACCCACGCTGTGCTCTCCAGAAACACCAGATAACTGAGTGCACTGGAAGAAGGCATTGCTATGGTCTCTCTTCCAGGGGCAATAGTGCCCACCTGTGTGTAGTCAGGGCTTGCCTCTGCCATCTGCACAGCACCCACATGACATGCTGGTTACGTAATAATGCCTGCAAGCGAGGTGGAGAAGGATGCTATGAAAGACCCGAAAGCAGTTTCTGAGTTACACTGGAGGGGAACATCAGCAAAGGAGTGCAAAAGCGGGGGGGGGATAATTCACCCCATGGCTTGGCTTAAAACTCCAATGAGTGAAGCGGGTATGTGTCTATCAAAGCCAGAGAGGAGGAGCTGCAACTGGAAAAGAGCAAATGTCCCAGTGGGAGCCCTAGGTGGACTGATTTGCTGCTGTGTGTGTGGGCAGTGTGTGTCAGTTTTGAGAACTGACACTTTCAAAGTTTTTTTCTGCAGCCATTAGGTCCCCAAAATTCAAATTTTCTTGTCATATATTTGTGGAAACTACTATCTAAAAGCCTGTGGGAGATTCTGGAAAATATAATAAATATTTCCAAGCTTCCTTTCTTCATAGGTAGCTTTTTTTAATTTTCTCTGTATATGGATAAAACATAAACACTGAGAGTGGAAAACCAGATTACCTTATCTTTATATTTTGTTTGCTTTTTAGGCAGGGCAATTACATTTATTGTTTTGCCAAACTCACTATACTGGAGAACCTTAAAATTAAGGTGTAAGGTTATATGAGTAATATTCTGAATCAGTTAAAAGGACTAGAAGTCTATTGAGCTAAGTTTCCTAATTCATTTCATTTTGAGAATCTGTCTCAATGTTAATCACAAGTGAAACTCCTTCTTCTTTCCTTCTTTGGTTTCACAGGTGTGAAATTTCAAAAATTAATATTGATTCTTGTTTACTTCTAATCCATTCATCCTCATGGAAAAATTTTACTACATTTCAATCATAAGAAGTGAGACACGAACTGAAGAAAACTATGCCAAACTCTGATTTTCAGTTTACATTGGCAGGCCAGACTGTAGCCACGGCAATAGAGAACTGCTGGTAAGGAATAAACATCCAAACTGAACATCATCCCTTACTTTTTTTCTACAGTCTTCCAGAAGAAAACTAGGAAAAAAAAGAAGTATCTGTCAAGAATAGCCACAGTGAGCTGGAGGCACAGATATTAGCCATCTGCAACATCCCTTTACACATGCAAACACATGTCATTAGACATCTGCTCAGTGCTTTCCCATCAGTAACATATTCTGCTAAATATAAAATTATCATAAAGGAAGCTTGAAGTTAAACTGCTGACACCTGTGTCAGGTATTCATTTAGACTCATTATTTGATACTGAGCCTAACATCATTTGCTTCTTGCTCTAATGTACTATCAGCAGTGATACGGGGTGAAAATGAGTTATGCACAAATGTCAAAATAAAAGGGCTCTTACTTTTACGTTTTTTTAAGATCTCTTTTAAGATATCTTGGAATAAAACCTATAACCCTTTAGCGAGCTTTATTAATGGCTTTATTTGTGGGTAAATTTTCCATCACAGCAGCCTGCAATGGGTGAGAAAACAATATATAAATGAAAGTCAGCCATCCAAATATATTCAGCTTCAGTATTACATGATGATGAATATTGACAATACTTGCAGTGCTACTCAGTGTCTTCCGGGTGCTGTATGAAGACAAAGCCCAGACAGTTCAGCAGCAGGCCATCCTGAGAATTATGCCAGTGTTAGAACCCTATGTGTAAGGTGGGGAAACTTTCACAAAGAAAATGAGATGTGTGTACACATACTGCAGGAACAGTGCCAGGAACAAGAGATACTGGTTCCTTGACCCAGAGTCTACTTTTACTTCCTTTAAGCTTTCAGGTGACTGAAACCTACAGGAAGGAACAAAAGAACAAGCTGAAAGTGTTCATTC